CAATCAAGTGAACTAAGCAAGATTAAATGGTGTATGGATTGATTTTTGGAAGAAAGTCAAAGTTGAGATTTTAAGGTTCCTATTCGGCCATCACTATTCATGCAGGAGCTGATTGTTTTGGCTTAATTGGATGGTTCCAATGGCTTTAAAACATGTTTTTGTGTAGGAATATATGGTTGGGAAGTGTTTAAAATCATTGGAATCAAAAATAAAATTTTTGAAAATAAATACCCCCTATTCGGCCAGTTACTGTTCATGGGGAAGGAGTTTGATTTTTGAAAATATGATTCCATATTTAGATTCCGCATGAAAAATTGTGTATGAATGGGTCATTAGGTAATTGATTCTAAAAGAGGAATCATTTTGTTAAAAATCAAAGAAAAATGAGAGAAATTATTAAGTTAAAGTTCAAGAATTGTCATTAAGTTATTTAGTGATTAATGTGGCTTATGTTTATATTTAGTTTAATAGGTATTGTAAGGAGGAACCAAGGAGAAGCTTTGTTCCTTGAAGTAACCTAGTGGACAAGTTTCAAAAAGGTAGCTTTGAATTATAATTTGATTGTTTATCTTGCTTGTTTAATGTGATGTGTTATTTACTTGGATTGAGGAACTTGTGTTGTGATCTGGTTGGTTGGATACCCTTGATTTATGCTTTGGCCAAATGCATTGAATTGTGTCAGTGTGGAAGTGTTAATGTTCCTTTTCTGGCATATTGTTGGATATGATTTAATGTGACTTGAGGATGTCTTGAAGTTCTATAACATGTCACATTGTAACTTGCTTGATTTGCATGATAATTGTAATTCAAATGCTATTGAGATTTCTATGAAATCTCATTCCCCCTATAGCAATTTATTTATCATTTAGGAAGTGGGTCATCCATGGATCAAGGTAAGGAGTTGGTATTGGGATAAAGAAGATTGATGATCATTATGTTATTTTGGAATGTCATGTGATGTGTTGCTAAACTTTATGCCAAGTTTGTAATAGATTATGAATGGTAATATGTTGTAAATTATATTGATATGACATGTCCAAGTGTTGAAATATTGAGTGGTAGAATTCTTAAAGGGTATAGAAAAGGAAAAAGGAATATAAAATTCAAGAAAGAAGTGATTGGGGGACAAAATTACCTAAATTAGAGACAAAATGGTGACACATAAAATAATAATCCAATGATATAATTTATACTTGAGATTTTTCAGGCCAATAGACCCCATTTTTAGCTTTAAATCAACTGGTAATCCATGAAATTTGGAGTTTTTTGCTAAGAGTTATGCCCTTCCAAAGTTGTGCTAAAATCCTGAAAATTCGAAAATTGACCATATGAATAGTGCATCTTGTCAAATTTTCTGGTGATATTCTTGATGGAATTGAGTCTAATGAATATTTTTCCTCTATATAACTCTTAGCAAGCTTCATGTGAAAATTAGAACCGTCTCATTTTGTTTTTTTTAGAATTAGTTATGAATTTTCAAAGTTGGTCCAAATTCAGATGAACAGTGTACAAATAGAATTAAATGTGAAATTTTGAAACTGAAAATTTTCACTTAGAAACACTGAGAAATGCATTATAATTGTTCCAATTAACGTATAATGAGACAATAAAGGAGGTGTTACAGTTAAGCTCTCCTAATGTGTAATTTGAGAATGATCAATATAATTGGTTCAATGCAACCCAAAATCAGCTCAATATCAAAACATAACGATGCAAGATAAGAGAGAATCAAGGAGATTACAAAGAGACGTATATGTGACCACACATATTAAAGCTCAAAATTCAATATTAATCAATCCAAACTACAATTATAAATCATGAAACAATGATTACAGCAACAATCCAATAAATATATAGCTAAAAACTAAAGATTGAAACTAAACTCCCCTTTAAAGCTTGGAAACTCATGCCACTTCATCATCTTCAAGAGTTGAAAACAACTTAGCCCTCCATAGCTTCAAGAACAGCTCCAACTGGAGTGAATTCGTCAGCTATAGTAGTTGGGAGTTGAGAAAAATGAGATGGAAAAGGAAAGGTGAATGAAATGGATGGGGAAGAAGATGGAGATTGAGAGGCAAGAAGATGAGTGAAAAGAGGTGTCAGCGATAAGAGAATGGAGTCTTGTTTCAGAAATAGGGTTTTTAGGGGTTTAAGGGGTCAATTTGGGTCAGATCATATGAGTATATGCTCTAATTTTGCATTCTGGATCCAAATCTAATGCTACTGATACGAGGGGTTTCGTCGTGGTGAAGGAAAATGTTTGCCCAGTGAACTATTCTAGAAAGGAGCTTCAGTAAAATTTTGAGAGTTGGCCGTAGCGAAGGAAAATGTTTGCCATGGCAAACTATTTCAGAATAGTCACTTATGTACATTTTTAGACTTATGCCACGACGTAGCATTTTCTTGGCCGTGGCCAACTGTTCCAGATTCAATACTCTGAGGTTACGTTTGGTAGGGAGCATTGAAAATGAGGGATTGGGATTGAAATTATAATTGAAAAAATCTATTAAGAGAGTGTTTAGTATAAGAAATTGTTTGATATATGAGATTAGCCAAAGCTATGTATGTGGGATTGGAGAATACCATGGGGGGAAGTGGTATTCTCCAATCCCACTTTTATGAGTTTGTCTAATCCCATATAACAAACAATTACTCATGTTAAGTATTATTTTAATGATTTTTTTCAATTGCAATCTCAATCCCAATCCCTCATTTTCAATGCTCCCTACCAAACGGGACCTGAGTTCTCATGTTGTGTAACACTTTGGTCTTCAATCTTGGTTCTAATTTTCAAGTGTCCTATAATGAAAAGCAACAATTTGAAGCATTAATTGTCTTAGAAATTAATCAAATACAACTAATAACTAATTATGACAATTTTATCCTCAAAAAAACACTAACTCAAAGCAAGAACTCTTAATCTAAATTAAGCACAATAAACATTAAAAGAGCCACTAACTATGATAAAAACCCTAAAAATGACATGAAAAGACATAGAAGAATTGGGTTCAATCACTAAGGCTTTCCTAACAGCTTATTGATCAAATTTCCAACTAATCAAATGCATTTTATCATCTTCTACATTAAAATTTAAGTGAGATTGTGCAAGTTGTTCAAGAGGGAGCCTCAATTTATAGAGTTACTATCCATCTAGATGGAATTCTAAATTTAGGTTGAGCACAATGCATAAATTGCTTAAAACCAACTCCTTCAACAAACTTGAAGGGTAATTCATCAGTGATTAACATACATGTTAAGGCTTTCCTAACAGCTTCTTGATCAAATTTTCAACTAACCAAACCCATTTTATCATCTTCTACATTAAAATTTAAGTGAGATTATGCAAGTTGTTTAGGAGGAGACCTCAATTTACAAGTGTTCATGTGGTTGTTAAGTGCAGTGGTTCCATTTGCTTTTGGATCACATTTAATAACACTTCCATAGTAATTACACTTACCTCTAATATTGCCTTCATCATCTACAAATCTAGTGAAGTGTTCCCAAACTTTGGATCTTAGGTTCATGGCTTTTTCCCCCCCCCAACCCTAGTTGTTTAAGGCTTATTATTCTCAATAGTTGGAGTTTGACTTTTTCTAGTAGTGCCACCCATGCCACCTCCTCCAATTCCAATTGTTTGGTCAGCCATGGTTTTACTTTGACAATATGTCATCAAATATTTATTAGAAGAAAGTTTACACAATATTTTAATGAGAAGAAAATTTAGTTAAAAATTTTTAAATGGTAAAATTATTTGCCAAAACAATGAAGTAACTAGACAGTGGAGATGGTTGAAGATGATGTTGGACTTAGATGAGTTGAAGATGATGCTAGATTTTGAATAGAACGATGGAGGCTCAACAAGACTGCAAAGACTGAATGGAACTATAAAGGTGTGTGGGTGAGAGTCTAAGAAACTAAGGACGGTGAGGATTTGAGTGATGGAGTGAGTTGGCACAAGGAGAGGGCTAGGGCATAATACATGACAAAATGAGGGTCGAACATGAACAAATTTTGAATTTGTTACTTAAAATACAATGATTTTTTTTTTATTTTAAGCATTAATCAATGATTCAAGTGAGCATGATGTGTTGGACTTGGACTTTTCAGATTGTTGGTATTATTTATTTCATTGGGCCTGGGCTAGTGGGTTGGAAAATTAAAAAAATATTGATTATATCATATATATATATATATTATATGAGAAATTGGTAGAGGCACTATTTTTTTTTATTTTGTTATTATTATTTTAGTTTTTCGGTTATAATCGAAATTTTTTTATGGACACCAAATAGAAAACCAAACATCGAAATAACCGAACAAATAAACAAATAAACAAAAAAAACCGAATAATTGAAATAGTTAAACTGAAAAACTGAATTAAGTTTGGTTCGGTTCGGTTCGGTTTTTTGTTTCGGTTTGACTTTGCTCACCCTTAGAAAGCGGAACTTGCATAGTGCAGTTCAAGTACTCCCTCCTTTCCTTTTTATAAGCAACAACTACTATCCTCTTCTTGTTCCTAAATATAGGCAACATTTGCAAGTTGTTTTAAATTTTTGTAACAAATTTCCTATTTTACCCCTATTAATTATTTATTTTAATACTCAATATATTTATTATCTCCTTTTCCAAATTATCATCTCTCTCTATCATGCATTTTCTTTTTTTCATAATTCTCTTTATTATAATAATTTTCTTATTTTCTTTCTTATACTCTTTGCTCCCTAAATAAGAGTATTTTAAAGAAAAACTTTCAATTTCTATCAAGTTATTATCTTTAACTAATTTTTTGATCTACTTAATGGACCCGAAAATTGCTTATGAAGAGGGAGGGAGGGAGTAGTGTTTTGTTGCATCCAACTTTCCAATTCAAGCATTGTTCTAAAATAAAAGTTTTTTTTTTTTTAATGAACTCTTTTTGGAAAAGAAAATTATTTCGGCCCGGACAGTCCAAATTGCAACACAGTTACACAATCTCATTCAATATCGACACGTGGCGTATTATGCTACGTGTGCAACAGAACAAGCCCCATCTGCCACGTGACTCTTCGTCGCTGCCACGTGTCGTCGCTCTTTCGCCGACCGATCCATTTCTATTCCGCTTCAAGTCCAACCGAACCCATCTCAGATTTCTCGAACGCCATATCACTAACAGTAACATCAAGACCAATTATTGTCCAAAGAAATCACACACGACCAAACTAAACTCGCCAAAAATGATCAACCTCGTGGCTCTTAGTCTTGTAATGGCTTCACTCGCCGGAGCAGGTGTCTTCTCTCCCGCGCCACAAATCCGTCGGAACGGCGACTCCGAGCAGACCATCGTGAAGGAAGGTCACAGAGTGGTCGTGGTGGAATACGACCAAGACGGCCACCATAACACCAAAATCTCTATCACCCCAGATCAACCACACAGCGAGAGATTCATCATCGAAGGCGGCGCCACTGATCGCTCCGGCGTGTTCGGCGAAACCAAGGAGAGGATCAAAGAAGCTGCTTCAGTTCTCCCAAACATTGGTCAAGGCCTCTCATCTCAAGATCTTCCCCATGACCAATATGGCTCCTTTCTTCACGCTCCTAAGGAGCTCATTTGCGACGCTTATGGAAAATGCAAGCACAAGATTGCCGACGCCATGGGAAGAGCAAAGGATAGTGCCAGAGAAGCCATGGAAACAACCAAGGAGGAAGCAAGAGATACAGCAAATAACGTCCAAGCAAAAGCGAAAGATACTTTAAAAGGAGCCAAGGAAGTTAGTGAAACAGTGGCAGATTCAGTTGGAAAGGCCAAAGAAACAGTTTCACATAGGACACATTATGTCCAAGAAAAAGCCAAAGATACCTTAAAAGAAGCAAAGGACACTGGAAATACTCTCAGGAAAGATGTTTCGAGCAATGTTTCAGAAGCAGTGAAGAATGTTGGAAGCTATATAGGGTCAAAGGAGACGCTAGATAATGTTATGAGTGCTGCAAATTTGATGGGTTTTGCTACTGCTTATGGGTTATGTGTTTGGGTTACGTTTGTTTCAAGCCACGTGCTTTCTAGGGCTATGCCAAGGCAACAATTTGGGGTGGTTCAGAGTAAGATTTACCCAGTTTATTTTAGGACTATGGCTTATAGTGTTGGATTGGCTTTGTTGGGGCATGTTTTGAGACATCGAAAGACTGTGTTCTTCAGCAAGGCTGAAATGTTTCAAGTCTTTAATCTGTTGGCCTCGCTTTTAACTCTCTTTGTCAATTCCATGTACTTGGAGCCGCGTGCCACTAAGGTATGAATCTCATTAACTTTTGTGTTATTTCCATTTTCTTGATGGATCTTCTTGCGAAAAATATTCCAAGTTCCTCTGTTTGAATTTAAGTGAGAACCTTTTATGGTAGTTGGTGATCAATATGCTATGAGTACTGTCTAGATCTTCATATTTAGTTTGATTTGGTATCAAAATGAAAAAAAGGAGCAATTATATATATTTCTTATGTCCTGAGAGCTTACTTTCTGCAGCATCCTAGTTAATGATTCTTATTTCTCAGCCAAGCATTTATTTAATTGTTTGTTGATCTTGCAGCATATAGGCACAAATTTTAATACATCAAGCTCACAAATCAACGAGTACTATTCTATGGTTTAACTTTTTAAATTGTAGCCATATAAAATACGGCTTGTTCTCTACTTCTGCACTTCGTTTGATTTGCTCTGTGCTTCTCAAAAAGAAGTAGCCTAATAATTTGGTCTTACCTATTGAGTTCTAATAAGTCGCTTGATAGAAGGGTTAAGAGGGAATTATAATGAGAATTCAGGTAAGGAAAATAATTAAAAAACAAGTCTGTTATCATTCTCCTTATAGAATTTGTCATTATAAAGGACTTTTTGATAATTATTTTTTCTGATGTGAAATCGATTATAATTTCTCCAAAGATTAATGAGCAATGGCTTCGTTATTCTCTTCGGAAGCTAAATGGACTGAAAAAAAGGCATGAAAAACTCATCCACTTCTTTACTCTGTTTATCTGTTAATGAACATGGCATTATTTATAATCCTTCAATAAATGCCTTGTTTCGTTGCAAAGATTCTTTTGGTCTTCATTCCTACTTTCTTAATGGATAGGTTATGTTCGAGAGGATGAAAATAGAGAAAGAAGAAGGAAGGGGAAGGGGAGATCTTACCTCTGAGCTTGGCAAAGGGAATCAGCACACTACCGGCGCAAATTCCACCGCGGCCACTGAAACCGCCACTGCCACCGCTAATACGCCGGCGAAGGAAGGAGAACACGATGTGGTCCGATCCCGGATTATTAGGCTGAACGACAAGCTGAAGAGGCTTAATTCACATTCATCACTGCTAAATATTCTGAATTTGATGTCTCTTACATGGCATCTGGTTTATTTGGCTCAATGCCTTCACCACAATTGTTGAGCCAAATAGAAGAAGCTATTTTTCCTGTATTTGTGTTTGTTTGTTAATACATGTTTAGTTTTTATCTTTCAGGGTTTTTACTTTGGTTTATGGGTTTCAGTTACCGAGTATCATGTTGTAATGTCCTGAGGAGAAAGATACCTTAAACCTTAAGCTGGCTATGGAATTGATGCTTTCTTTAGAGATATAGGAATAGGATTGTGCTACTTTTCTGATCTGTACAAAAAAAGTGCTTCAGTGTTAATTAGAAGTTGCAGACTTACAGCTTATTGTGAAATCCCCCCCCCCCCCTCTCTAACACGCACATCTTTGTGGTACCAGTATTTGAACTCGAGACCATTTGGCTGCTAGTACACACATAATTCTGCGTTTTCATTCCAGCATTTGTTTCCAAGATTTCAGGGTCTTGGACTTACCGTGGACGTTAAATCTGTCTATCAATAAAATTAAAAGTGGGGTTGGTGTATTTGCAATTTTGCATGTCTAGTTCAGCTTTTAGTTTTATAAAGGCTAAAATACATAAAAATATCTTCCTGATTTTTGAAATTTGAGTCAGTTGTGCATAATTCTTCTAGTATTTAAACTTGTTTAAATTAAGGATCTTGATATTTTTTTTAAATATTTCATATTTTGATTATCAATTCTCTGCCTTTAATTTAAAGTAACTGTTAAATTAATGTTTTTGCCGTGTCGAAAATTTTATATGTAATTTTAAGTAGTTTTATACTTTTTCCATTTCAAAAATTTTTAAAATTACGTGTGAAATAGCATGTGTTATTCTTTTCAAATAAAATGGCATAATAAAAATATGGAAGTTTTGATACGACAAAAACTGTTAATAAAAAGAAAAACTGGGGAGAGAAATTAATTAGTAAATGATATTTAAGGACTTTATGTAGCTTAACTTTTTCTGGGTATAACTTACTTTTCTTATGTATAATCATCTTTCCTTGTGTTATATCTTTTTTTTTTTGTGCAATTGAATTTTCTTTGTATGTGATCTATCTTCTGACTTCTCTTATGTGCAAGTTATATTTTTTATTTGTAAATTAGTTTCTTATATCTAAATAATGTTCTGTGCAAATTATTTCTTTTATGTTCAACTTAACTTCTCTTACGTGCAACTTATCTTAATCCGTGTAATTTATCATCTTAAGGACCATTTGCTAGTTAATTTTTCAGTGAGAAATTTATTTCCAATTTTCTATTAATAAAAACATGATACATTAGAATCCTTAATTTAAACAAGACTAGGAAAGCGGTGATCAGACCCAAATGTAGGAAGTTTTTATGTATTTTAGCCTTTAATTATAAATCGAGAGTGATGATTTGGAGATGTAAGCATGTCAAATCACAAATGAGATTTTTACTCGGAGGGTGGGTTTTCCGTAGAGACTTTTTCCTCTCTTCAAGGCGCTATTGTTGTCGCAAAGTCCTTGGGGTGTTTAGATGGAAACCAAACTATAATTTAAGAAGTGTTTTTACAGTTTACAAAGTAAATATATAGAGAAGTTTACAGAAAAGTGCTTCTGAAAAGTGCTTTTCGGAGTTGTCAAACACCCCTTAGGGCTCTAGCAACGGACAATATCATTTTGAAAATTTTATTCAATATTTATAATATTATAATGTGGTTGACGAATCTGAAAATGATTAATACTATTTAGCACTTTTTTTTTTTAGTTTTTAAACTCACATTTTTTAATACTACTTGTGACATGGTTGCTAGCTCTTATACCCAAAGAACAAAAAATCAGATCGGATACTAAACCGATTGAAGTAATAGTTCAAGGGTTAGTTGGTCGGACTGGAATCAACCCAGGGTCTAACCGATCATATTAAAATAATACAATTTAATTAAAAGTAATAAAATATAACAACATTAACAATTACTAATAACAAAATGTAAGAAAATATGACAATAATTTGATTATAACAATCACAAAGTATAACAACATTGAGAATTTTGATCTTTATGGTTCATCATTAATTAAAATTAATAATCATTATACCAAAATTATTATTAAAATTCATTTAAATCTACAGGGACTGATATAATAGGAGATGTATGAGAAAAATAGGACTAATAATAACCTAATCATTTAAATCGATTATCGATTCACACCGGTTTGACCGATTCTCTACCAGTTCAACTGCCTCCCGATTTAATATTCAAACTGAACTGGTCCACTAACTGGTTCACCGGTTCAACTGGCCAGTCTGAATCGATTTTTTGTGCACTGCTTATAATAACAATATTTATAACTCTATTAACTCCATTAACCATATTATATGGCATGTTTCTAAACTTGGTGAAATTAGTAAGTGCCTAATCTTGTGGGATTTTTTCAAATTGACAATTTTTTTAAACAAGTCTCACAATTTAACGTTATTTATTATGTATTTTCTAGATTTTTAAACTGAGATTTTTTTTTTTTAACATTTGCAATATGGTTGCAAACTCTTATAACAATATTCCTAATTCTATTAAAGTCATTAACCATGCTATATGGCATGTTTTTAAACTTGGAGATATTAGTAAGTGTCTAACCTTATGAAATTTTTTGAGTATTCGTAATATGATTAACAACCCTTTTAGTGAGTCAATAATATGAATTTTAAAAACTGTCATATAATATGGTTAATGACATTAATAAAGTTGTGAATATGGTTATAAGAGTTGGCAATCATATTACAAATGTTAAAAATGTCATTTTTAAAAACCTGAAAAACATGTGATAAATAAAATTAATGGAGTTATAACACTTGTTAAAAAAATTGTTAATCATATTGTGAAATTTGAAAAAATTCAAAAAAAAAATTAGTTGCCTAATTTAATAAATAAAGGTAACATCGTAAATTCCTAACGTTTTAAAATTTCAATTTAGTTATATTGAGTGAATTAGAATTTTGCAACGTCATATCACTTTTTGGGGTTTTCCAAAATTCAAATGACATTTTTAGTAATAAAATGAGATAAAATTTGTATAAAGACTTCCATGGAATTGGTCACTTCTAGCGTTTTGAAGGTAACATTGTAAATTCATAACATTTTAAAATTTCAATTTAGTTATATTGACTGAATTAGAATTTTACAACTTCAGATCACTTTTTGGGATTTTCGAAAATTCAAATGACAATTTTAGTTGCAAAATGAGATAAATTTTGTATAAAGACTTCCACGGAATTGGTCGCTTCTAGTGTCTTTAGCATCAGGGGTACTCATATGACCTATTAGCCCACTATGCCCTCCTAAGCCCGGTAGAAAAATGCCAGTCCTGTCTGAAAAAAATGGACCAGAGAAATATTGGGCATTTTTGAGCATAGTCGCTTGTCAGGCACCATGTCTTTCCTTGTCCATTTAGCCCTGCTCTGAAAATATAAATAATTTTATTTAAAAAATAATATGCAAGCATATTACTGTGTTATTATAGTTTTTTAGTTACCTTGTTTTCAATAAACTATAGATAATTGGATGTTAATTATTTCTCATTTAATTAAGGATGGTGTGTTGAAACTCATTATGATGTGTTTGAATGTGTAAGTAATGTGAAATTATGATGAACTACTAATATTTATATTTATTTCTTTGAATATTATAATTTCTGTAATTTTGAATTACATTTGATGTTTAAAATGTTATTTACCAGTTATTGATTGAAGGTTTTTCCCTATATGATACGATGAATAAACATTTCTACTTGGACAAAGAAACCTATTCTGCTCAGCCTGCCTTTGCCCAGCCAAAAATGACTCGGGCTCTTTACGTGCGTAGATGGATGGTAGGCTGCAAAATGCTGTCCCCTTTTTTTTGGGCTTTGCATTGGGCCTCATCATGTGCAGCCATACGGTTAGCATATCCTCGCATTTCCTGTATTCATTGATGATAAACCCTAATACCCCTTTCGAAGCCCATGATCTATCTAAACAATGAGGCGAAAGACGTCTGGTGCCTCCTTCTACAAGGTATGCCTTCTCCAATTTCCCTCTCTTTCTTCGGTGTGCAGTCCGTCTTCGTTCCTTCCCTCTTTTCCTTATCTGCTTAGTTTTAAGTTCTCTGTTCCGAAAAGCATCATCGATGTTGTTCCTTCATTCAATCATATCAGCTCTATGCGGCCCCTACTCTGTTCTTGAAATTAGAAAGATTTCGAACTCAATTGAAGAGATCAAACGCTATGGGATTGGTATCTTACATTTTGTGCAAATAGGATTCGAAGGTCCTACTGTGTCTTTAGTGACTCTGACCTTCAAGATCAACTATTTTTGTTATGGGGGTCAGATGTCTTTTGTCTTTCTCTATTGGAGAAGATTTACTGGAACGGTGATTAAATGGATATTATATCCGCAGTTACAGTGATTAAAGGACTCAGTATCAATAATAAGACAACGTTGAGAAGCACTGGGCTTTTATGACATTCCAAAGGGAATAGATTATCACAGCATAATTAATGGTTTTTTTCCAGATATGTGTTATGACTTTCTGGAATTATATACGTGGTAAATCTTCACGGGGTAACATTTAATATGTTTTTCAAATAGGAAGTGTGGAGGATTGCCTTTAATTTAAAAGGATTACAGTTAAAACTTTCATGACAACTTGATTCAAAAGGGTTGCCATTTGGTTGGATGAGTTATGACACCTTAATCAATGACTTATGTAATACAACAGAAGAGAAACCATCATTAAATTGCCAATGCATGGATCCTTCACGAAGGTGTTACTGCAATTGTGGTTTTGAGGTTTCTCTATGTTGCAATGAAATGGTAGATATGGATCTATCATTTTTTACTTCAACATCTCAAATTGAATAAGCCATTCACGGTGGAGAGAATGCTAACTTCCAACTACCAAACGTAAAGCAGCTCTCTTAGTAATATGTGGAACGCTTATTCACGCTATGAGAAAGTGGATTACAAGGCAGGAAGCTTCTTCATGAAATGATCACCAGAGGTATTCAAGTGTTCATACTAATGTTGAAATTTGCCCGGTATTTGTTCCCACATGTTATACTTCTTTGTGATATTAGCAATTGTATTTTTGAGTCTTTGCTCAACTTTGTTCCTTTTTTCCTTTATAGTACTTAATTAATTGCCTGTATTCTCTTGGAGGGTGTTCAATTATTGCTCACTGACCAGTGATGTACGTTATATGGAACTCAAAGCTTCATTGAAACATGTTATTTACATTATCTCCTTGATTATGTTTACCATTTTGGTATAGTGTGCTGAATCATTTTTTTTTGTAGAACAAATGGGTAGAGGAACGAGCTTAGTTAAACGTTGGCACCCACTATTTTATTTTCCTTACTCGTGTAGTTGATTTGTTCTCCAAGAAATACTTCATGCTCTATAACTTTCCTGTTGTCATGTAATGGCTAAGATCTTTGGTAATTTCTCCATGGGATCAGTTGATCTGAAATCTGGTTAAAGCAGATTTAAATTCTTGATTTTATTTCTGAACCTTGACATTTGGCCCTATCATAACATCAGCTTTTTTGTCTTCTTTTTCTTCTCGTTATTATTGTTGGTTCTGAAATCAATGAAATTTTTAGATAGTTTATGACATGTTTGAAGAAGCAGAGTGTACTGGGACACATGCCCTGTTATCTGATTTTTCTCTACTTCAAGAACCACATTAATTTACCTAAGGCTGTTACTTCTATTTGTATCTCAGTTATGCGCATATTTAATGCATAACCTCTTATAAAATATCATGTACTGTTTTTGAATCATCATATTTCACATGTTGAGTCCTTTGCCTTCTTGTAAGCTGAATTTTTGAACCCTTTTTTAGGTAAGCAGAGGCATCCTCCGATTGGAGGCAAACCTTTTTTTTTTTTTTTTTTAAATAGAGGTGTTATGATCCAAGATGAGGAAGCCCGTTTGGGGGACATGGTCCAAAAGAAGAAATAGTAATGGTGATTGGGTGGCTGGGTCTCTAAGTTTCCGGGCGTGTGTTCTCCTATAGAAGCAGAAAAATGGATGCTGTTGATAGGAATGCGTACTGTTTGGGACCTTGGATTTCGCAAAGTCATTTGAATCTGATTCCAAGGAGATTATTGATGGGATTGACAGGAGTCCAGCTAACTGTCATGGTTTTTCTTCTGTTTGGCATCTGATTATCAGCATGAGGCAAAGGAACTGGATTTTACAGTTTCAATTGGCCCCTACAGAGGCTAACAAGGTAGCAGACAAACTTGCTAAAGATGGCCCAAGTAACCTGCATCGGTTCACTTTTATTTATATGGTTCCAGAGTCACTGAGCACCCTAGTGTAGAAAGATGTTTTGGGATCTTTGTCCCCTCGTTTGTGATTGATTAGGGCTCTGTCCTCTTTTATATCCCAAAAAAAGCACTGAATGCCCTATTTATGAGGTGGGGAGTTGGTTAGAAGAAGGGGACAAAAGAGACGATGCTGGGAATCATGAAGGACTGGTAGCACCTAGGAAAATTGATGCAGCGAAAGGGAATGACTTTAATGCACCACCACTGAGGTGTAGCACCAGCGCCAGGAATCCTCCACGCAAATGTAAAGAGGTCAAGGGTATTTAAGAGGGGTTTTGGCAGTCGGGAGAGTTAGCTTTTGTCTTGTTGGTTCTCTTCTTTGTGTACGTTTCTTTCCTCTCTGATATTTTCCCTTCTTTCTGGTATTTTCCCGTTTTATGCTATGCTAATATCAGTATTCTGCGCCAGTACTTGGCTTTGCTGATTGTAATTCTGTAGCCTGTGACAATGGTGCTTACTGTACTAGTCAGGCGACCCTTTATGGCTCTATTGAATAGAAGCAGAATTAGAGATACTTGCACTTATTTTGTTCTATCCGTATGCTTTTCCCCATTTGGAGAACATTACCAGGGTGTTCATTTTCACAAGGCTGTGTAAAACGTAAAGGCTAATGAGCTAATGGTAGCTTAGAACTGAAATTTTTAAAGAGAAATATCGGTGATGATTTAACGCTTTTTTCTGTGATGATGAATGTTCAGAGCTTCAAGTTTATATTGGAAACTTGCTCATCTGTTTACAAAGTTTTGCAACTTATTTTCCATTAATTAAGCCTGGTTAAGATCACTAAAATTTGATTTCAGTTTGCTTTGATAATATAACTATTCTTTCCATTCAAAACCAGTTGGTTTAGAGATTCAGTATCAACTTGATTTGCAGTTATCAGTGTATGCATCCTTTTTTATCTTCCATGGATTGCTAGTGTTCTCAATGAGGGTGAACAGCTGAACATAAGAATATTGTGACATTAGTGTTAATTATTTCCTGACAGTTAATAATGGGGGAAAACCTAAAAAATAACTATTGAATTTCAAAATTTTAATTCAGGAGTTACTATAAAAATATTTTGTTATTTGTTTAGTCCTTTTTTTTATTTTACGAATGTAGTAACTAATACTAATTTGAAATTTTGAAATTCAATAGTCATTTTTGAAAATTTTTCCTTAATAATATATAGGATAATTATAAAAATATATGCGCATAATGTTCATTGCTTTTGACTTTACATTTCCTTGAAGAAGAATCTATTTATGAAATATCAATATATTAGAGATGGAAGGCAAAAGAATTATTTGGTTTCTTAACTTAGTTTCGTTTTTTAACTTTAAAAAGTATATTTTTAATTTTTTAACTCTAAAATTATTGGTCTTAAATGAGTTAATTTTAGAAAATAAAATTTAATATGTTTGTATTTGAAAATGTTTCATTAATATTTAAAATGTTTACAGTTTTAGTGTTATGGAAGTAAATATATATTTTTTGAAGATGAAGGACCGAAACGAAGCCCTGTATGAGGTTAACTATTAAAAGTATAGTTCTTGTTAGGATAGAATTGCATCCTATTGTGTTTGTATATGATGTTTATACTTTATACCGATAGAATTCAATTGTATTTGAATAATTAATTCGTATACTTTTTTTCCATAGGATTTGTACTGTGTCAGAACTAATAGTTATTGAAGTTGGAATCCTAGCGAAAATAAATTAAAGGCGTCTTAATAACCAAAAGAGAAAACTAATCCTGTAATCCTTATAATTTTATTAAATGTTGAATCGGGTCCTTATAACTTTTTTTTTCCATTAAATCTTTATTATTTATTTTGTTAATCTAAAATAAATGTAATATCTTAACTGTAAATTTTTTTAAAAATAAATTTTTTTTAAAAATCACTAGTAAAAGATTTTGAATCTGAACCATTAAAACTAATTTTGAATAATTTAGATTTCATCGTAATGATGAGCATCATGATGATCATTATTGTGATAAGCACTAAAACTAGTTCTGTGCTAAATGAGAGAGACGGTGTGCCCGGATATCACATCATTCACTGTCAACGTATCTAATAACTTCACTAACAGAAGGATGAGCGTAGTTAATAGAATAAATAATAAAGATTCAATAAAAAAAAATTATAAGGATTTGATTCAAAATTTGATAGAGATATAAGAATTGCTGAATTAGTTTTTCCTAAACAAAAAAAATATAAAAGGAGTCATATTAAATATTAATTGATAGATTTCGTCTTCGTTAAGTAGTGCAACATTTTTGCACTTTATATGCTGCTTGCCTAACCAACAAAAAAAAAAAAAAAGAACCTCTTATACAACTTCAACCAACATCTACTTAATTTCTCACTTAACAATCACTAACAAACCTCACATAAAGTTTAACCCCACAACCAAAATAAAACCAGGCACATTTCAAACTCATAGAAGCAAGTGGTATTATTGACAATGGCATGAAAGAAGTTTTGTTTAGAGAGAACAAAAGGTCAAATATTCCCGTCAACTCTTTGTTTTGGGGGTGGTGAGAAAATAGATAAAACCGTAATGGAGAAGGCGATAGAAGCTACGGTCATGCTTGGATCTACCTTTAGGATAAAAAAAGCACTTAGAAAATTATGCAATGTACGGTACAGGCTGGCTTATTTGAAGAGAAAGATGTGTTTGGATTAGTGTTCAGTATGAATGAGCTTTTACGCAAAACTGACTTTTTTTCCAGTGCAACTTTTGGATGTTTCGTTTTTTTGCTATGAACACTTGGTATCTTGAGTCAGGCCATCTTTCAGGCATAACAACAAGCTCAGATTAATCCGAATCGAGGGATGACAGGAACCATTAAGGTTGGCGTCCCTGACCCCTAAAATGCTGCATTCACAAGTTTCGAACATGAGACCCGTCGTTAAGTTAGAATAGCTCCAGCTAGTTGATCTAATCGTCAAGTTAACTTTTGGACACTTTTAGTTGCATGATATATTTTCGAGTCATTCTAGGAGAAGCTATGGAGGTAGTAATCATACATTGTAAAAAGTTAAAATTACATTTTAATATGTTTTTATAATATTTTTTTATTTTTAATATTTTTTTATGCATTATCTATTTACATATATATATTTTTATTCATTAGAAAAATGTAGAATAACTTTTTTAATATGTTTTTATATTATTGCATAAATTTTACATTTATTTAGGTATAATTTTAATAAATTTACCCAATAATTTGAATTTTTTTCTAAGAAGAAAAAATTAACTAATAAAATTTAATTTATTATTTTTCTAAAATTTATCAAATTGTATATGTGTAATATATTAACTTTACTCCTTAATATAAAAGCCCAAAAGACTAATTTGAACAAATTAAAAAAAGCTAAACAAATTACTTAATTATATGTTACATGATCTCTCTAAAATACTTATATGTATCACTAACTTTTTCAAATTAGTTAACTAAGTCTCATATAAAAACTTATACCCTTTTTAGTCTTTTTATATTCACTATCTATCTAAACAAGTTTCAATTTTTCAAACTGACTTTTTATAAATGCCAATCTAAACATAAATTATATTATACTAAAGGGGTGTTTAGACACCATAAAAAGTGCTTTTCAGAAGCACTTTTCCACAAATCAAGATAAACTCCTCAATATATTTACTTCGTATACCGTAAAATTATTTTTAAAACTATAGTTTTGATTCTATCCAAACACTCCTTAATTGACTTTTACTCCAACTCATATTTATAAAAATTAAATGAAATAAAAATCAATCTAAACACACCCTGCAATGACGAGAGCCAATGACGAAAACATAGACATTGCGGTCACTTCCTTCTTCAGCATGATGAGCACTAGTTGATGCAAAGTGTGTTTTACTTTAAGGTGGCTAAAAAAAAGTTGTGTAGCAGTTTTGAAATTGATGTAGATACTATTGTAAATATTGTGTATGGGTGTGTCAAAGGAAGAGTCCCAAATTGCTTGGGGTTGTGGAGGTCCAGGTAATAAGTTATCTTGGATTACTAAATGGGCCAAAAGGAGAAGCGAGCCCGCATGCACAATAGGCCACCAGAGATAAATCCGACAATTTCCCTTCACCCCTTGTGCACGAGTCAAATGCAGTACTGACCACTTTATTGGAAATATCTATCTAAATTTTAATTATAATTATGTCTCTTCAATGTTTGTAACCGAAGATTTTATTCATCTTAAATGGTCATTAAACAAGTCAATTATGACATGAAATTGCTCATTTAATTATGAATTAATTCTCATTAAGTGCGTTTAAATATGTCCAATGGTATTGTGATCCGTAGCCTTTAAAAAGGGTATAAGACCGACGTTCAAAGAGTACTGCCATGCTCTGAGTTTTCAGGCAACTCTCTTTCCTCCTCTGGTGTTTTGCCTTACTGAGTTCTTTTATCTTTTGCTGTTATGCTCACCCTATTCTTACAAGAAGCATCCGTTTTATCCTGGAGAGTGCCGCTTCTTGCTTTGCCGGTAGTTGCAGAATAGCTCTTACGGACAGTGTCTATAAGACACAACTCAGATTTATCATTTATCTGCAGGTGTTACCATCAACAGGATTTGTAGAACATCACAGAGGAGCCGAAAGATCTGTTGAATTTTGGAAAATTTAGGAGCTGCAGCCAACAGATACAGCTGATGTAAAAATATCAGGTACTACTGTTAAATATTTACAGTTTTTTCAGTAAGTTCTATTAGACAAGTTCAATTTTGCATCTCAAAATGAAAGCATATGTTTCTTAAAATTAAACCAAGCTCAAATTGAAGTAGTTAGCTCCCATGAGGCTATGACAACTATGAAATAACAGGTCCTTTTTTTTTTCTGGCCAAAAGATTTAAGGAGAATTGTCATTCAGTACTAAGGAAGAAATACAATTGCAAAAGATACATGGAGCAGTGACAACTTTTAGAGGAGTAAATAGCAATTACTTACTTGTTATTGAAATTTATTGGTAATTATTTTATTTATTTGGTATCTCATTATAATTCTCCCAAAGATATATTGATATAAATAGTCACCTCCTAAAACTGACTTCTCCGCAACTCAACTTAAATTATTGTTCATAAGGAAAATATGACTTGATTAAAAAAAAGAAAAAGCCAGTCCTTTGATGATCGTTTTCTTCTTTCTCTTCTGATGCCTTTTCCCTTGTCTCCATTGTCAGAGCTTACCTTTAGAATTCAAATTCAAAATTCCAAATGTTTCTCTCCAAATATTAGAGGGTGATCGAAATTGGCACCACCAAGAATGTGTGGAGATATGGTGACCATGAAGGCAACGAGAGAAGCAACGGCAAGATGACGAGGTGAGCTAATATCCCTTTGCACGCACTTTTATTCCTTTCTACTTTGGTTTTTGGTTCTTTCATTTTTATTTTTGTATTCAAATATAGTTTTCTACTTTTCATTATGAGTTCTTCATTTTTCCTGACTTTCTATTATTCGAAGGAAAAATGAATCACCTCTTCATTAGGAACATAAAAATGGCCACACAATCATATTCAAGCCAGTGGCCTC